GTGAGAGCTCTTCTTCTTTTCCTGTCATGTGAGCACTTGCTTGCTCACTTTGGTCGGTATTGGAAGGCTGAGAAGTAGCAATGTCTGAATTTTCAGTTTCTTGATCGACACCATAGGATATACCAGCTAGTTTGCGGTAATCTGGCGGGATCATTGCTCCAGTACGAGAACGAGTATGTTGGTAAACACCCTGACTTTCAATGAGTGCCTATCGTAATCCGGGAGATCTTTCAAAATCAGAAGACTCGGAATCATTAGCTAAGATTTTGCTTTTACCCTTGCTGGCCATGTTGATCGTCACTTCAATATGGCGATCATTGGATGCTTGTTTCTTGGGATGAAACCGTCTTCTTCTTGATGATGAGACCATCGGTAGTTCAGTCAACCGTTCGAAGACTGAAGATTTATGCATTGACTCCCAACATGAACATTAGGAAAGTACTGCAGAAATGAGTTTCTCACAGCAACAATGAGATTGCATTTGGATCATGCTGCGCTTATGCGTGAGATAATCCCGAAGGTCACCAGCTGAACAACCCCCAGTCGACTCTGTCATCTTGGTTTTACCCAAGTGAGACCCTCTGAATGATCGAGGTTGACGAACTTGGGTAGACTGACGAACTCCATCATTCATGTGACGACATTCGTTGGTAAAACGAGCTCGACGCTTGTGCCTTCTCAGTTGGCTCTTAACCTGAGGTTCGTTTTCTTCACGAACGTCAGTATGAACCGTTTGTTGAAACTGTTGAACTCAGAGCCTACTCGGGTACAAGGGTGAGGTCCGTCATTCGGACGTTCCTCATTCACCTGACCCTCGTCAGACTTGTTGACCTTAGGTTGATTAACCTTCGGTCAATAATGAAAACCGTCTAGCGAGACCAAGGCTCGAGCCCTGCGATGAGCTTGGTTCTGACGCTGACGTTGTCGAGCGCGTCTCGACAATGAACCAGTAGAAACCTTTGCTTTAGCCAGAGCTGAGCGAGGTTCGTTTTCAAAAGCCATAATTTAGCTAGTAGAAGCCGAAGTTCGGCTAGGTTGCTTGGCAACCCATTTCTTAGCCTAACGGCTAGTTTCTGGAGCCTCCTCTTTGATGGGCTTGGACTTTTCCTTGAGACTAACTCTTGTTGAATCATCAGAAGCCACTTGGGCTAAAGTCTCATATGAGACTCGACGACACTTACGTGCCTTCGTGGGACTAGACTTACCCGAGGAAAGAAAATCCTCATATCTGGATTGGTCAAATTCGATGACCAGAATCTCGACGTTCGTTCCCACTACAATCTTGTCTGATTGTGCCACCACCATTTCGTCGGAGAGAATAGCTGCTCCCACTGTGGTCGCCATCGTCTGTAGGGTCAAAAAATTGATGTTGGGATTGATTCTCTTATTTTAAGAAATGGGTTCGATCACTTGGTACGAAACCCTTACAATCACTCACACTCTCTCTCGATTACAGAGGAAGAGGAGATTAATTCAGCTTCTTTTTTGTTAAAGGTGGGTTCTAGGTGGCGAAAGGATGCTTCCCCCGATGCTTGAGTCGAGCTTGCCTCCCGTTGACGATCGGACCAAGATCACAAGAGTTTCTGACCTTCGTTAGCCGGCTGGAATCGAAATTCGAACTCCGGATTTACACGCAAAAGATCTGATTTCTGATGATTAAAAGTCTCAATTAACCAACCCTCTTCTCTGTAGTCATCCATGGCTATTTATAGGGTTTAAGTACGTAACCGACGTGCTACAATCATGGGTAGAGGGGCATAACTGCCTCCCCCAAATTAGCGCATGCTGTAACATGCTCCTGAAGATTAGCCTACGTGGCTAACTAAGTCTTCGGAGCCATTACAGGTGAATCCCATGTGGATGACGAACCTCGACCTCAATTGAAACAGAGTTCGTCAAGTAAGACGAGCCTCGTGGTTCGTCTTACCAAGCAAACCTTGCAGTGGACCAGTTTCTCCTGACGAATTTTGTCTTCACTGACTTCGTCTGACGAACCTCGCTTTCACTAACGAACTTCATCTTCGACAGCTGAGTCCAACTACGTAGTAAGTCTTGTAAGTTCCCTTTTAACGAACCTCATCTTCACTAATGAGTTTCATGTCTAGTAATGAGTTTTGAACCTCGTGTCTAATGACGAGCTTCGAACCTCGTATTCACCAATGAACCTCGAACCTCGTATCCAATAACGAGCTCCGAGTCTCGTATCCATTAGTGAACTTCGAACCTCGTATCCAATGACGAGCTCCGAATCCCGTGGATCAGTTTCATGAACTTTGTCTTTTGATGTTAAGATCTGCTGTGTGGCGACTCTCGTTCTCAAGGTTGATCTTCACTAATCAACGAACCTCATCTTTGATTGGGAAGGGGTTCGTTCTCTTGATCCTCCTTTTCACATTTTGAGTTTTGGCATTTTTGAATGCCTACATGTGCATGTGTATCGGTCGACTGATACTGTTCATCAGTCGACCGATCGGTCGACTGATATTGTTCATCAGTCGACCGATCGGTCAACTAATACTGTTCATCAGTCAACCGATCAGAGCCAGTTTGCCAGACTTGTTATTTCCTAATTTTTTCCGTTTCCATTCGTCGTTTCTATTCTCAAGCTAACCAGAAGAATCATCTATCTTCAAGCTCCCATGAGGATCGCTAAGTTCCCGAAGCAGAGAAGATACGCCTGTATCACACACACACAAATATACACACAAACACGCGCGCGCACACACACACACACATATATTGTATTTAAGTGCTGGTTCAAGACTTAGTTCACCATATACTCAACTACTTTTTAGTTGTTCTAAAAGAGGATTCAAGTCTATACGGCATCTTCTTTTGTGCACATTGGTTAAAATAATGATAGTTTAAAATCTTTTTTTTTTTGGGGGGGGGGGGGGGGGGTAAGAGTTTCTGTAAAAGTTGTCCATTAACCTAGGCTAAGTTTCAAAGTACATATATATTATAGGATGTACTTTAATAACAAAAATACAATGTAGCCAGTGATGAATTTTTTTTAAACAAATCAAAGGTCATCATTTGAGGCTTTCCCTCAACCCTTTTTATCTAATAACTCTACATAAGTTTGAACTCGGACCCGGAAGTGGACTCGGTCATACCCGGACTTGAACTCAGTCTGACTCGGACTCTGTCAAACTAGGACTCAGACCAGGTCGGACTCGAGCTTGAACTTAGACTTGAACTTGGACTCAATTAGACTCAGACTCGTATCAAGTTCCAAGGGGTGACTTCAGGTGCACTTGGGCATTTTCTGATGGAGTCTGACCTAAAACGCCTTTCGTCTTAGAATTGGACTTCTCCGATGGATCCCTACATGAAGACGCCTACCGCCTCAGACTTGAACTTGTTGTAGGAGTTAGCTTAGAAAACAGCTAAAGGGTGACTGTTGGGCTTCTGATCTGATCTATTTAATGGGTCTATTTAATAGGCACGTTAAATGTACCAGTACATGTAGTTAGTGGGTTGAGTGGGTGTAACTGATATGACCTTTGGGTTGCTCTCATTAATGACCTAGCAAATCTTGGGTTAGGTTAGAGACCTATATAAAGCCCTCTACATAACACTAGAAAAAATACTCTAAATCAGATCAAGGATGTCACCTAGTGGCTAAAATTGATCAAAGTGATTGTGGAGGGTCTAGTTAGGGAACACTAGTACACTCAAGTTGCTATTCCTGTAAAGTAATTCGGCTTTGGGATCATTGCGCCGGAGGTGACCTAATCTTGCTTTAAGTTCAATGTTTTAGGACGCATAGCAACTCAAACAGTATTTCTGCAACAAGTATCTGAAAAAAGTTCATATTCTTTGTTTTGTGATTTTCCCTTTTGTTCTAACAATGTGAAGTTTAAAAGAAGATTACAGTAGGATATCAACCAGCTGCTTTCAGTTTTTTTTTATAACATCTTTAACCTTATATCAGAGGCAATGGCAAACTCGCTAAAGATTGTTTTAATTACCAACAGCCTCGGTTCATTATCGTCATAACTCAAAATCTCCAGACCTTTAACCTATTTGTTGCCTCTTCCTAGGCCCTTTGCTGGATAATCGTTTCTCCTAAAGGATCTATATTTTGAGGTGCTTCATACAAGGAGAGGGATTCCAAGAAAAAGTGAAGCACAACCTAAGTTTCAATGAATCTAATCGTCATAGGCAAGTGCGCGGATCCAAATACTTTGGTTCCTGGGACGAGAATCTACAAGCGTACAAGCACAAATTGAATGTGGTAATTTTACCTAAATATTAGTGACACCAAAACCATATATACGTGCGCACAAGTGTACGAAGAACAAAATGTAGTCGATGGATGTTTGGGAGGAAAAAAAAATTGTGATGAATTACAGAAGTGAAGAAGAGAGTGGAGCGGGCTTCACATTTTGAGGGAATCAACGATGATAGGGAGAAGGTGATGGGTTGGGAGCAGACGAGCCACGTTTGGCTCATTTCGATGTTTAATACCAAAATCTGAAGGTCTAGGGTTAATAGGCCCGAATGGTATCGGGGGAAACGTAATATATATAGCTCTATGCTAATTATGTTTCTTTAGGGCGGAAAAAATTCGCAAGCCAATAATAATGTGTTCATAAGCCTTCGATTTTGAATCCAAATATGGATATCATTCTTTGAGCTTCCTCGAATGGGAATAAAAATATTGTTTCAAATAATCACAATATTTATGAACATTAAAATATACTTTTTTTTATATAGTCGGATTCGGATCCTCTCCACTATAAAAAAAAATAGTGGAGGGACCAATACATAATTACAGTCATTAATTATCTAGTTGATGGTTTTGATTTTTTTTTCCTTTAGTGAAAATTAAGAAGGAGTGCAATACACGAAGGTATGATAAGTGTTAGATTTAGATTGTACCATAACAGCCTACTAAATAATCAACGATTGAGATTAAAAATAGTAATCTCCCCTATTTTTTTTATAGTGGAGAGGATCTAAATCCAATTTCTTATTCCAATCAACACAACGTATTTTAAAACTGTGGCTCACTATTTTCAATCACAAAGAACTTTTTTCAACATCGGAATACTTAAATTCCACCATTTTGGTCAACTCAACTATCGTCAACTCAACTATCCTCATTACTCAACTAAATCAAGATAAACAAGACAAGTACAAATGCTAACATGTAAATACAATAACCACATAAAACCCGCTAATTCTCCACACACACACTCTCTCTCTCTCTCTCTCTTTCTCCTCCCCTTGGCTTTCGTCCGTCTTACGTGATCGAGAGGCAGGGGTCACGTCAGCCCTTCACCCATGGCAAACCCTCTGGTTAGTCTGCGGGTAGCGCATCAGCCAGTGGTGATAACCCGTACAAGGACGACCGTCGGGTTCCCGATCCAACGGCTCTGATTTCACCTCCGAAGATCGCGGATTCGGGTATTTGTCTTCGTCATCGTCTCTCGCCCGCTTCGACCCGATATGGACACCGAAGAGTTTCGGGCTCGGGTTCGAACTCGGGCTGCTGCTTCCTTCTCCGAACCTGACCGGCAACAGATCGAGCGGCGGACGAGGCGGCGCTCCGCCGTGCGGCCCGTACTCCGAGACCAAGTGAAGCACGTTGTTACAGAGATTCTTCATCTGGGCGAGCTCGCTAGCCAGCTGCATGTTCTCTTTTCGCAGCCTCTCGTTCTCGACGAACGAGATCTGGCGCGCACGCCCGCCGCCGGAGCCTGTACGCTGACAGCCGCCGCCTCGAGCTGCCGGAGAGGAGTTGGACGAGAGCGATTTCTCTCGCCGGAGTTCGGCCGTGACCCGGTGACAGGTGGCGGTGGCGTCGATGGCAGGTTCTCATCTTGCGCCTGTGGATCTCGCAAAGGAGCCGCCTTTCTCCTCTCCTAAAGCACTCGTTCGCAAACTCCCACCGGTCCGGCATGACCTTCTTGAATCCCTAGAAATCAACGGAAAAATCAATAAACATTTTTTTTAAATATCGAATTTTTACGGCACAAACAGCAACCAATCGCACTGACGTAAGTATTCAGCTGGCGAACGAAGCTCGAGAAGTTGTTGTGCTTGAAGAACTCCGGCCTCCAAACGACGAACGCCGACCCGTCGCCGGTCACGAGATGACGTCATCAACCGCCGGATCGTCAACCAGCTGGTACGTCTTCGAACGGCGTCGGCGTCACCCTCTGACCCTCCGCCGCCGCCTCCGCCTTCGATGGCGTTGGTGGTGGGGCCATCCCTATCCAAACTCAAAGACGGGAGTAATAGTTCATGAACTGCAGGAGATGATAACAAGGAAAGAGGGGAGAAAGCGGTGGGGATTGCGGGCGGTATTTATTCCTTCTAGAAGCAATTTTATCGGTGAGTATTTTATTAATTTGTTGAGAGAAAGCAAGAAAGGCCGAGGAAGGGAAGAAGGCGCGAGAATTTCCAGAAGTTTCCTGCCACGCTGCGGTTTTCCTCCAGCTGTAGGGGACACGTGTCGACGCGTGGTTGAGTCTGTGAGCCCCGGGGGGGATAAGGTTGCGCTGATGTGACGAGGAGAAAGGCTGACTGAAATAAATAAGGAAGCGGGTCGGGTCAAGAAACGTACAGAGTCAAAGTGGAGGTTTCTTCTCCATTTTGGGAAGAAAATATTCCCTTTTCTATGCGTGCTCAATTTCTATGCGGGAGATTGGGAATAGGGAGATTGACGGCCGAGATGGTTTTGCGTCTAGGTTTTTATGCGGATGATGACGTGAGACCATTAGACAGTGGGAGAAGTAACACGTGGAAAAGGAGGGGGAGAAGGTACTACTTAAAAGTAGGCACTTTCTTCGACGCTTTAACCAAACGGTCTAGAAGTTTTCTTTGTTGGTCACGCTGGATCTGCTGTGGGGAATTGAACACGAAACATCACGTTTAGGTCTTTCTTGCCTCTATTTTGTCTGTAGTGACGACTTGCGCATTAACCGTGTTTGTGAAAAAGGAAGAATACATATATGCCGCTTTTGGTTCGAAAAAGATAGGGTTTGCTTCAAAATGGCTAGTTATGGAGTTCACTTGGTCAAACTTTTCATGTATTTAATCAATTTATGGATTAAGTCCATATCTTTCCCAAGAATTTACTTATAGGGGGTGTTTGTTTCAAATACTATAATTTTAGGAAATGAATTTCACCATGGGATTTGAAATCCATAGGTAATTTGTTATGGGTTGGGATTCCTACAACTTTGTTTGTTTTAACAATATTTTAGGATTTGGAATACTATAATTTGTAATATTTTTGTTTGTTTTAAACTTTTTGGAATTTAAAATCCATAATTTGTATAAAACTTTTGAAAGCCACCCCACACCTCACATGAAAAAGAGGATTTTATAAATCCTTAAGGCTGCATTTGGTACTAAGATTCGGATTTGGAAGCTTGATTTAAAATCAAGGGATTTTAAATCTAGGATTTGAAATCCATGATTTAATAAAATTATTTGTTTGGATGTCATTACTAAATGCAAGGATTTGGAATCAAAGATTTAAAATCTAATGTTTGGATATATTTTATTATACATGAATTTGGATTTGAAATAAACTTTTAATGTTTGGATATATTTTATTATACATGAATTTGGATTTGAAATAAACTTTGAGAAGTGATTCAAAATCAAAATTGATCTCTTCAGTAGCAATTATAAAATTTGGATTTGAAATAAACTTTGAGAAGTGATTCAAAATCAAAATTGATCTCTTCAGTAGCAATTATAAATATACATGCAAACATCTTATCCTTCATGAACCAATATGAGAGAATACAAAATAATAATGATGTCCAAAATATTCATTATTATGACATTTTTTCACGGTTTCATCCAATACTAAATTGACCTTCGATCCCCAAAGAATAAAAATACTACTCCAGTAATTAGTCATGATAAAAAGACTCGAGGACACAATAGAGTTTAGCAAAAAATCCTCATAAGAAGCTCTAGGCTACACAATAAGCCTTCATTTAAAATACAACATGCTGTAGATAGTTGATAACCATGATTTGCTACAACAATTAACCATGATTTGCTACAACAAGCCAAATTACTACAGCATGAACTATTAAAAGAAACCATATGTATAATCCTCTATTTATCCTTCAAGTCTTCTCCTCCTTTCTCTCCATTGTGTCCAACTTCATGTCTCAAGAATTTATTAAGTCCTACATTACACAATTTAGCATCAATTAGTCAATGACACAAAAATCGACAGACAACATTATCTAATGAATTCAATCCATGCTAAAATTAAATCAAGATGATCAGGATAGTTTTTAATGTTGAACAAATCATAATGACGAAAATTGATAAAGTTTAGAAACTTGAAGCAAGTGGTAGAACACAAAATATGCATGCAGTGTACTAGTTTTATAGGAAAAATGCATGAGAAAAAGCATATGCTACTCAAGACAGCTAAATAGCATATATCATAGCACTTGCCTAAAAAGAAATCCAAGAGAGAACTTACCTGAACAAGTTCAAAGATTTGACGAGTCTCGTCGTCCAACAAGAAACTATCTCAATGCATAGACTAAAACCTTTCATGAAGAAAACTAATTAATTTATCATCAGTTGTGTTTCCTTTTCTTCTTTTAATAATGCAAATGTAAAATGAGATTAGGCAAGGATGTACCATATAGAACTACCAAATAGATAAAATTCGGTGCTAATTGATATATGAGACATGTATTCTTAAGAGGAAAATAAAATTACCTCTAATAACAGTAGTCATCATCCGATAAAGATTTGTATGCATATTTAGTTCTAATCTCCCACAGTAGTTGATTTTGGAAGTAAAATGGATAATTGCAGTTGATAGATAGAGAAATAAAATTAGTTACTTTGTAATTTTTACTAGACAGCCTACAGTGTGGTGCTAAGAGTGACCTTCCTCTTTNCTAAACTAAACAAAACAAAAAAAAAGGAAAGGAAAAGAATGTAGATGGGGGGAAATATTGGAAAGGTTTTTACATATATTCACCAATGGTGAATGCTCTCTTGGGCGATACTCTGGTAATCCATCGAAAAAAGAAAACATATGCGAATAAAATGTAAAAGCCTTCCTTCAGATCATAATAAAGCTAATAAAAAAAGAAGTATAAAATAATAAGGAATCATTAATTTGAAAAAGGGCATTAGCTGATGTTTTACTGATTTCGTTTTGTTAATTTAACATTCAGACCTATCTAATCAGCAAAAAGGGGACCGACCACAAAAGTCGAAGTTCACGCAGAAATATTGAATCCCTAACAAATCATGTTTTACTCTACCAGGCATTAATTTAACAGGACAATTGGATTACAATCAGTAAATTTAAAGAAGCATGTTCAGAGAAACAATGGTGAAGCAACTGGTTACTGGTAAAATTAAATAGGAAAACTGTATAGAAAAAGATAATAGAGAATGACGCACTAAGAAACATACTGGAAATACATAATAAGAGTAGAGAATCAAATTAAAATCCTTGAAGCCTATAATGTAAATTATCGTTAATAGAATAAGCTAGAAAAACGAGCTACCTAGACGGAACAAACTAAACGGAATTTTTTTCCGTCTAGTTTGAGTCAAACTAGACGGAATTAATTCCGTCTAGTTTGTTCCGTCTAGGTTGAATCAAACTAGACGAAAATTTCCGTCTAGTTTGTCAATCTAGACGGAAAGGTCAACCTAGACGGAAATTCCGTCTAGGTTGAATGGTCAACCTAGACGGAAATTCCGTCTAGGTTGACCATTCAACCTAGACGAATTTTCTTCTAGGCTGAATGGTCAAACCTGACGGAATTTCCGTCTAAGGGTTGAGGCAAACATTAGACCGGTAAATTCGCAGCTATGGTTGCCTAGCAAATTTAATGCCCTAGCAGCCGCCGCCCCCTCCCCCCCCCCAAAAAACACAAATTCAATATTTCACTCTCTCACCTCCCCTCCCCCCCTTCCCCCCCCTCGGTGACCCCCTCGCGGACCCCCCCTCCTCCGCACCTCCGACGCCCCCCGCCCGCCTCGCCGACCCCCTGCTTCACGGATGAAAATTGTCTTCATTGAATTCCATTGTTATCTTGAATAACTGTTTTTCGGTTACAAAAGATCGGTCATTTTTTAGATCCGTACAAAACGAAATCAAAGAAAAAGAAAAAGAATTACACTTCCTTTTCAACTTTACCTTTAGATACAAATCGCAAGATCCTGTATTGCGGTCTCTGCTTTGGATTTCTTTGCGACGCCGGGGTTAATCGTGGACCATCGCGCGATCTAGGATCCGTCGGATCTACACGATTTGACTGTTGTATTATTCGCGAAGAAAAATAATAGCCGGGGGGATTAATTCACCAAGGATAATAATCGCCTTAGTTCTCGGGCTATCAAAGGCCAAGGCTTTGATCCGGAGTGTGATCTTCGTGAGATCTCAGATCTGATCTTTACCTCTCTCGAACTCCTGCCTTTATGTGACGTGGACGCTCGCCGAGAACCAGATCTGAATATATCAAGTCCTCAAAGTCTTCAAAACTCCAAGCTCAATCTTCAATTCGGCCAGAGTTTCGGCTCTCAAAGTTCTAACCTTTACAATGAGACAGGGGCCTATTTATAGGCTCTCTGAACTGTGCGCGCACAGATCTGCCCGGTCCGGCCACCTATGGGTGGCTCGGCCTTGGCCGAGCCCCCCTTAGGCGTTGGGTTTTCGTCGTTTTGCGTTGTATCCGTTCAGTCCGTGATTCGGTTGACTTAGACTCTGATTTGTTGATCTGATTTGGCAGTCGATCCGATTCCTGATTTGGCAGTAAATCCACTTCTGAGTTCGAGTCCGAAACTGATCTTGATTCGATCGTGATTCGTCCGAGTCTGCCCTTGGTTGGATGACTCGTTGACTCTTCGAACCCTTGGATTGATTCCACACGCGAATGAATGTATTCCGTTGCTTGCGTGCGATTCGTTAAACTCGTCGCCTCGTTGGTTCGTCGGTTTGTGCCGAGCTGTGCTAAGGGACCTATAAGCAATTTTATACGCCTACAGATACCCCCTCCAAAGTATTTCAGCCTCGTTCTTTTATAGAAGAGTCTGGAATACTTTGGATGTGATTGTCCCAACCTTCAGTCGGTGTAACGGGACTTTGGAATGGCTTCTGTTCTTGATTCCTTCAATCCTCCAGGCTATTCGGTGCTTTGTCGAATGTCTGTAAGAGTTCCGGTGCTGCATTTATTGTTTGACCGTTGTCGGAATTTTAAACTTGAAGTCGATTCCTGATTTTCTAATCTTTAGCTGACCATCGATTGTTGGCGTTGAGTCTTTATTTGCGACGCATTGTCCGGCGTAGTGTTGTTGAGTTATCCTTAAGAATATTTATAAAAGTATTCTCCAGGAACTTCTCAGCCAAAAATAGGGAACGGTTTATACTCATATACCTTATTGGAGTATTTTCTGTGCTCAAATGAGCTGAACCGGCTTGAAAATGAGCCAAAAAAGGCAGTAATGAGGCTCAAAAGATCATTCTGATCCTTCCGAATATGTGGGAGAGGCAAGAATAAACCAAGGACTGAACCCTCGGTCGATTTGAATTTGTTTCGATGCTCGATCCAGCTTCAATTTGAATTCTGGTTCAAACCAGGTCCGGTCCGGTTCAACTGGGTCTGGTCCGGTTCAACTACGCTTGGTTCATCATTATAAAAAGGGTTTTTTTCTCCTCATTAGGGCCGGCCCCCCTCTCTCCCCTATTTTTTGATTTCTCTTCCCTCGAGCATCCGTTCTCCCTCAAAACTTTATAGTTGCATTAGATCTAGTCTTCCTTTGGATCTTTGACTAAGAAATCCCTCAAAACTTCCATATTTAGAATTTCTCTCAGGCCCCTCGAGCGCGTGGTCCGAGCCTCTTTCAAGATCTGATTTTTATTGGATCCACGAGCTTTTCCTCAGGTAAATCCTCAACCATTTTAGCATATTTTATGCTTAATTCAGTTTATGAATTTGTGGG